GGCCTTGAAGCCAAGACGACTCGCCCGGCCAGGACACAGCACAGGGTGATCCATGCAGAGACACAGTACCCCGAACCTAAGATGAAACTCAACACACTTGTCAATACCACTGCGGCCTTAAAAGAAAAGTATCTTTCCGAGATTGATGATGGAAATGGTTACCACTTTGTGCATAGTCACCCGTATGTAAACTCGTCCCCGCCATATGAATGTGTCGTTCTCGTTGCTACACCCAAGCACGTTCGAGACTCGTGTGAACGTGGCACTCGGGGTGAACGCAGTGACTTGGACAGCATTTGGCATTTTCTGTCATGGTTCTACATGATCAACTGTTGCGAGCTCACCACGACAGCTTGTTTTGTAAGAACCGTATAAAGTTCACGCTTGCAGTGCCAACTCGCGCCACGCGCATGCCTCAAGGTGTGGGAACGGTGTAATTAGACCCCTGCGTGGATGACTGCAGAGTCACTTTGCGGTCGGGCTCGCTATTGAGAACGGACGTTGAAGTAATTGGGGACATGATCGGCTGATTTGCCCCAAGTGCTCCGCTGGTGTTGTGAGTTTGTCCGAACAGATTTGTCTTTAAAAGAATTGCATCTATTATAAAATCCCGGAGGTCCATTTGTCCGTTTTTCTGTCAACTAAGTTATTAGAGAGCCTTGCAGAAGGCCTGAATCAAAAAGTGATAAAAGGTAGACCCTCCCCCCCAGATGTGGAGGTAAAAAGTTGATCCAACAGGTTTACAAAAATTGTCGACGTGGGCGGTTACATGGTGTATAAAATATAGCGAGTGCACAATAATGAATGAATCGTGCCAGAGGTGCCCCCTCCTCGCCTTCGCCAGGAGCACCTCTGTGAATGCCGCCTAGACGAGGGCATCCGTGACCATATCGCGAGCGGTGGCGCAGTGGTTCGCGCTCTGCGCTACGACCCTGACAACCGGGATGCGATTCCCAGCAGCGGTGGAATAATAACCTGCCCCGCCCCCCCCGCACTCCCCCAGGGCCGATTTAGCTTCGTGAATTGGTGTAAACGTGGGCACTGGGGAGACGAGGTCGACTGGTGCCGTGTCGGCCTGAGTCCACCACGCTCGATTTGCCGAATCGAGACCTCTACGGTGTTTGTATGTGCGGTACCGTCTGCTGGGTCTGTGGCCTTCGTAGGTGCTCGCGAACAGTACTTGCTCAGACAGTCTATTAAAGGCAATACGGGGGATCTTTGTCTTTGCATTGTGTACACGCTTCTCGACTGGCCGTGTTTTATATACAACAAGTACGGACATGTGGACGTTGCCTTACCCGTTCATCGAGTCGCAGTTCTGGGTAGGCAATCGTTTTCAGCACTTTAACGCCGGAACAATAAACATTTGCAGACTTAAGCGTGTTTAGTTTACAATAAGCTCCCTTTTTATGTTCGTATGAATGTTTTATTACGCACTCTCTAAATTTGTTAAGTCATAAAAAATAACCTTATAAGAAGCTTAACGTCTAACATCGCCTAAGCCCAAGGTGGTCTCTTGTTTGCAGTGAAAGGTCCGCGCCGAGATGAAAGCGAGCCGTGCTCCGGGGCGACCCGTGCTCCGGGGACTGGGAGTCGGGGTTGACGGATCACCCTGAGATGGAACCCTCGCGTACAATTGCTACCCAGCAGCATCGGTCGAGCACTTTCCCCCTCCCCCCTCGTCACGTGTAGAGTCTCTCTCCAGACGTTACGGTTGCCTCCGGCATGCAAAGTTACTTAATAGTAGTTGGACAAAACTGAACACTTTCGTCAATGAAACTACTGCCTTAAAATATGTGAGTATAAAAACAAAAAACATTATAGGCGACGTTTCTGGCAATGGCCTTTCATCACAGCACATCGCGAGGGCAGAGAGGTAGAGCTGAAATTAGCCAACCATCCCAAACAGGAGTCTCCTGGAAAGGGGCTTAACATGCAGCATGGATGTGAGTTGAGAGTAGCGGCATCTATGTATCTGCGTCTCAGTTGTGAACCCAGCTGCTGCTACCGCCTTCAGAAGACAGCGAGAGTGAATGCCACTCGTTCGCGTGGAGAACGGATCGCAGTGGACACGAGACCCATAGACTCACACAGAGACCCACAGAGACCACAGACTCACACAGAGACCCAGACTCAGAAAGAGACCCATAGACTCACACAGACCCATAGACTCACACGTAAACCCATACTCACAGAGAGACCCACATACACAGAGATCCACACACTTGCACAGAAACCCACAGATGCACACACAGACCCACAGACACAGGGGTGGGAGGGCTACAGTTCGAGTGAGCGCAACTCCGTCGCTGCTGCTGCTGAGGAGCCTTTCATCTGTTGCTACTGGTTCGGTCCACATGTCCGCCGGCTGCGAATGTGCATGAACAGCAGCGTCGTTTCCACTGAAGACAAGACGTCTCCCTAGTCTACGTCACGAGGCAATTGATGTGGTGGTGGTGGTGATGACAGTGTTTAAAGCGCCCACTATAACCCTCTTGATGTGAGGCTCGCTACGTGATGGCAAGGAGAGCCCTGCGGGTTGCAGGCGTCACCTTCTCGAGCCAAAATAGCATTACTATGGGGTAATAAGCGGTGTCAGCGGTCCAGTGGCGTGTTGGTGACACGGCATGAAGTCACCGGTCTCCATCCCCGACTCGGGCGCCTTTCTGCGTGGAGTTTGTGGTTTCTCTTCCCCCTCTTCTGCGTGGGTTTCCTGCGAGTTCTCTGGATCCCTCCCATAAAAGAAAACAAAAACAAGCGGTATTGGTCAAACTTCCAAGCGATGAATCGTTCCCTGGGAAATCACTGAATTGGCGTGACTGCAACATCGCCCCCGACTACAAAACACTTGGCAGGGACTCTCCTGAAAATGAATCGTCACGCTCGGCGGGGCTTTTCCTGCGTAAACGAACGGCAAAAAAATACATACTTAGGTGATGTGGCTCAGCGAAAGTGCGAGCGACTCGCAATGGCAAGGTTGCGGGTTCACTCCCTGGTTGGAGGTTGCCTCGGCCCATCGATCATGCGGTGGGGTCGGTAAAACCAGTACCATTTTGTGGGGCAGTCACGGTGGTTGCTCTCTTATGGGTATATTGTACTCGCCCCGCCACAGGAATGTGGGATTTCCACCGCTGTCTCGGGGCTGTGAACAGGCGATGAGCACTCATGCATCACTGCTCGTTTGATGAGGAAATAACTTTGCATGTTGAGGCCGAAGCAGCGCACGAGGGAGGGGGTTGTGTGACACGTCACGTCAGGCCGAATCGATCTCGGTGGACTACCGGGACAGATTCTGATATCACTGTCCACGACATGGTGAAAGCTTGACGACGATGAAGACACTTTGCAGTACAGTGCGTAGGCTACCGACGCCACCGATCACGTCTGCAAATAAAATTGCGATTCTTTGGCATCACAGACAAGCAGGAAGGCAGCCAGGCGGTGAGGCAGCGCTACCAACAATCACCCAACGTCAGATGCACCATCTGTGCTCCTCACTGTCGTACCGCGCTGCGTGTTCGCCGGCTCGTTGCTGTGAGCGTCGCTCATTCGCCATCCGTTGTTGCCTTCAACTGCCCAGTAGCGTCATTCACGGGCCTCCTCCATAGAGGCCGATCTTGACACCGCTGGTACCGGCCATCGACAAGTCCACTCAGCTCCACATCCTCCTGTACCACATCACGTCATTGCTCTGCCGTCCGCGCCGCGCCCGTTTAATCCCCTCGATCCAACCAAACAGAAGCTGTTGGGGCAGGCGGTGGCTGGGCACGCGGATTACGTGGCACAGCCAACGCTGCATCGCCGACCAGATCTTTCAAGAATCTCTCCGTTCCTCAGGCAGTTCAGCTTGGTTTAAACCCAGGATGGTTCGTAGGCGGGTCAGGCTGAATGTTTCAAACCGGCGCAGATGTGCCTTTAACGGTTTCCACGTCTCAACGGTATCGAGAAGTGAGAGCAAGACTGTGACTGAGAAGACCCGGATGTTGGTATGGAGTGATAGTCCAGGCAGCTGATGAGTGAGACCTTCGCTGAGAAACCGGAGTTGGTCATCAGCACTGTCCAGATACATAAACTTCTCTCTCTCTCCACAACTCCCCCATTACTAATGTAGAGTGGCGGGGATGAGGCATTTGACGACACAGAATCCCCAGGCAGGTCCTGCTTTGTTTTTATGGGGCTGATGTTGAAGCCCCATCCCTTAGTTGCACGCTCCATGTTCAGCAATTGCGTCTCTAATGCCTTCTCAGAGTGAATAGCAATCACCAGACCATCAGGGAACCATCTCTTCACCGTACCCAGGCATCGATCAGCCTCTTATTGTATCTGTACCAGATTTAAATTACTCCGGTACAGGCATGGAGAGCTTCTCGTACCCCGAGGTCGAAACAGATGTTAAATAATGCAGGCGCCAGAGGACATCAATGCCGCACCCCAAGGTGAACAGGAAATGGCTCCGACTCCTCGCCAATCAGCTTTACCGGGTCTTACAACATCACACACAGACTGTCACGTCTTCGGGTCGTACAGGTTCGTACACCAACCAGTTAGGAGGAGGTGGGGGTTGATTTATTTTACATGATTGGGGCCATTCACATTCCTCATTCGTGAGCAGCGTGAAGAGCCTCGAGATCAAATCATGAGACCCGCATTGTTCCTTGTGCCCATTCTATTTATAAGTAGCACAGCGTCCAAAATTGATATTCAGTTCTAGATAACACAGACGGCCGGCGCTATATCGCCTGCTTTGCAGGCATTGGTGGAAATTCCACATTAATATGGCGGGAGCGAGTCTAGTATTCATTCTATCGGAGGGATGATGGGTCGAGTCAACCCTAAACAGGAGTTGAACTCTCGGTCTGGTCATTGCGAGCCACGTGGCCCGATCGTAGAGCAGGGAGATCTTCAAGGGTGCGTTGGCCTGCTTGCAATGTTGTGACCTTGGCGACACCGACCCAGCGAGTGTTCGAAGTGCACGCAGTTTCATTCACGACTCATTGCAGTGATTTTCACATTCACGACAACTTTACTTCAGATTCTACCGTGCGCGGCGAATCTCAAAACAGACGACGCAGTTCAATGCACATGAATCTGTGTTCACACGCACCGCGAGTGGACGGTCAATAGCCGCGTTCACAGCATCGGAGCAACCCGTCAGGCCGTCCGCCTAACCACACGCGGGGTGAGTTAACAGCAAAGACAAAGATCCCCCGGATAGTCTTTAATAGTAAATTGGTGCAAGTGGTGTTAGCGAGAACTTATATGAAGGTCAGCACGGAACAAGAGATAGTGGGTGGCCAGCACTGCGCCCGGTCGCCTTTGTCTCCCCAAGATGTATTCACATCCCATCAGGTACTCAATTAAGGCCGAGTCGACCTTTTGGAGGCCGAGGACCGGCTCAAATGTTCCACTGTTATTGGTGGCGAGCGGGAATCGAAAGCGAAATGCGATAACCACTGCAAGACGACTGCTCCCCAGACGGACTCATTTTCTGTGGGTAACAGCGCGCGCGCACGCAGACAGCGTGTCGAAGGACACGCAGTCAGTCTGCGTGTCGAGGGACACGCAGTCAGCCTGCGTGTCGCGGACTGTCTGACACCACTTTGAGATTCAATAGAGATGGAAAAAAAAAGCTCATCATGCTCAGCCCATCATCCTCATGGTCCGGAGTCAATAAAATTAGTAGCATTTTGCGGGGAAGTCAAAAGTGACTGCCCGTATTTATAGATTCACCCCCGCCCCCAAAGCAATTTGGCACTTACACCACTGGTTCAAAGCTTGGAACGGCAGAGGTGCACCGCCTCGATGCTCATTCGAGTAGTAAATCGCTCTGGTCCTTGACCGCTGAGAGAAAATAATTAACCATTCATGAGCTTACGTGCAGAGCTCCGTTCCGTCTCCACGCGCAAAAAAATGCATTTTGTGGGTTTTCCAGACCAATAGATTGACGCATCGAGTCCGTCTCGTGTAATCGTGGCCTTCACGCCGCTGTGACGTCACACATGGTGACCAAGTGCTCTTCAATGTGCGAGGGCGATTCGGGAAGCGTAATGCTACATCCTCGGGTCCTGTGAGATGGCGACGGCTTGGGGTGGACTGTCATCCAGAAGTGGCTTGATCACGGTTAATGATGCTGCTGCTGGAACAAGGTGGGGGCAGTAGTCACACTCGTGCCTCCTCCCAGCAAGAATGGGCCTCGCTGGGTTCAATTTCCACCTTCGGTCGCCTGTGTTTGTTCTCCACCCTGCTCTGAATAGGTTTCCTCCCGTAGCCAGAACACCCAAATAACACCACAACGTACCTGGTAGGGGCCAAAAGATCACAATGCTTACAACTTACCTTTCCTATTACACAATTGGGATCGCAGACGGCAGCAGCAGCAAGTGCCGTCCTCCTGTGAATACTTGACATGACCCACCTGAAAACAAGTGGTGACAGTTTGTGAAGCTTTCCTGGGTAAACTACCGAAATCGTAATGACAAAGTTTAAAACTCGTGAGACCTCCCGTGGCGAATCGCAGCCTGAACATGGAGGCGCTTGCATAGGAGCAACTTGAACACCAACCCTCGACAAACGACCGTGCACCTCGTGAGCGAATTAACTGGAGTCATTCGCCAAACCTCATCGGGCGATTGTCTATCTGGAAAGATGTGCACTACCCCTCCCACTCTCACCACGGCGACACATTCTGTAACCGAGTCGGTAAAACAATGTCTCCTTTCCAAATCCGTCTCTCCGCGTGAACGATAAAAGAACCGCATTCAATGATGCAATTAAGCCGGACTCTGCTTACGAAACACGACGTCGTAACCGGATCAACGCCGGATCGTGAGACCACCACCACCACTATTGTCCATGCGCAGAGACCTGCGGTGGGAAGGAGACGTAATCGGCTTTCGTCATTATTTATTTACATCATCCACAACGATGTCATTTTAAATCCTTTATATTAAGTTCACTTGCTTGCTTGCTTAGGACCGTGCAAATCTTTCGGTCGTTTTTTTTAACCCACTTCCCGTGATCCAATCGAGCTGACATTTTCCACAGACTCGTTGTGCGTGACAATTAATGTTCGTGAAATTTTTTTTCCTAAATTTGACACTTTTTAGGACAAAAATATATATATATTTAATTACCAATTGCTTAATGCTGCCATGCAATCATCTGACCCATAGGTGGCAGCCATCTCAAGCCAGAGGACGAGAGGACTCTAGCCGCCACGCATATAAAGGATTTATAGTGAAAAACTTTGTTTTTACGGGTTATACTTGTTTACTTCGTCTGCTGATAGTTTGGCTCATTAAACATGTGCGCTATCGTTAGGGACTACGCAGTTAATCACAATCGACTACAGCCAGACGCGAATTCGAGGAATTCGATTGCACGACGAGGTAAAAAGGCCGCGAACGTCACGGGCGCAAACGAGGACGACGATGACCTATCGCCTCGTCGAGCGCGGCGAGTTAAACCGAGTTGAGATCGAGCGACCTCGCCACTCACAGGGGCCGGGGCACGCGGGAGGGGAGGGATGGCCGCTCAAGGGCCCCGCCACGTGCCGGACAGAGTCCCGAGCAGGCCAGAGGGCGAGAACACCTGGCGCAACGCCTTGCGCCTCAGGTGCCGTTCCAGGCAGTGCACGGCCAGCTCGTCCACGTCCGAGTCCAGCTTGTTGACGAACAGATGCCGCTGCTTGAGCACCCACGCCAGGTCCTTGGCGCTGTTGATGCAGATGGCTCGCATGTGGGTGCCGCGGCAGGGCGGGTAGGCGGCCCCTTGCAGCGTGTCGCCCTCCATGTAGGACCACCGCACGAGGCGCGCGATGGCCATCATGTCCTCCACGTCGTACTTGTCGTGCGGCGGCGAGGAGCCGGGCACCCCGGGCAGGCGCTGCAGCGTCGCCCACAGGTGCTCGTCGGGGCTGAACGTGTCCTTCTCCCACTCGATGAGCACCTGCACCGTGGGGTCGCTCAGCACGTGCTCCACGAAGGCGCGCGTCACCACGATGTACGCGTTCCCGGAGAACATGGGCGTGGGGATGGGCGGAGGGGACTTCTTCTCGCCCGTGGAGCGCAGGCCGTCGTTCACGATCTCGTGGCGTATCTGCCACCGGCCCACCTTGCCGCCGGGAGTGTGCATGGACTCCATGCTGTTCTCGCCGTTGAGGGCGCGCAGCGCTCGCACCATCTCCAGGTTGGTTTTAATGGGGAAGTCGAGGCCGCACAGGTTGATGAAATACTTCCAGGGCTGCGGCGCCGCCACGAGGTCCCGCATGCAGTTGAGGTCGGCCTGCACGCGCAACCAGGAGGTGTAGACCACCCGCTCCTGCCGGCTGGCCAGGAAGACGTTGGGGAAGCACGCGGCGAGAGCACGCACCGCCTCCTGGTAGGGCGGCGGCGACTTCTGGTCCACGTGGAGGCAGTAGACGTTCTGCGGCGCGTAGATGGCGCGCAGCAGCCGCTCCAGCATGTCCACGCGGTGGTGGGCCACCACGGAGTAGGCGATGGGGAAGGCCGCCTCCTCCTCGCTCAGCGGCACCGTCACGTACCTCCTGTCGCGCTTGAACGCGTCGCAGTCGCGCGTCATCCTCACGCACTCGCTCTCGTTGAGCCGCCAGCGTCTCCTGAACTCGACGGTCTTCGTCAGAAGCGATGCCTCGGCCCACGTCTCCTCGTCGCCGCCGATGATGGCGGGACAGTCGACGTGAAATCGCGGGTCCTCCCTAAAGTCAAAGTTTTCCCCGCGCTTGGTTATGGCGATCTCGAACACCTCCTGGTTGAGGCAGATGACGAGGACGGAGCCGACGAGGAAGATGGACATCAGGGTGACCTTGCACGTGCAGGTGGTCCACACCATGGCGGTGGCTTGAATCGACGCGCGGATTCTGCGACAGAGGGGCGAGGCGGGTCACGTATTGCCTTTGCGTATATGCGATGCAAATCAACATTCAACAATCGGAATGTTCTCGATCGCTGCCAAAAAATTTGATGCGCGGTGTCGCTTGCGTCGACTTCCGTCCGCCCGTCGATGCGTAACTTGATTTTCAAGCGCGTGTCGGAACAACACTCGACTCAGAAGAGGAGGAGGCGAGGCGAGACACGAGAGCGAGGCTCGCGCAGCTGCGTAATTTGTGGCGATTTGCGTAGTGATGACGCCCATTGGTGGCTGTCGCAAATTATTCGCGTGAGGCTGACGGCCCGGTTGGACTCCCCACGCGGCGAGACAAATTCCACTTCGCCTCGAGTCAAAACCTTAACGAGGTCCTTTTGTTTTCAATTGCAAACGGAATGTCAATGGCATCGTGATTTCAGTTGCGATGTAATCACCGCAGCCTCCCCTCCCCCCTCGTGTATTTAGTATTGATTTGTCCCACGAGGCTATTCGTTCGCCCGAATGCAGTCGAATGCAGCTGCGGTGTTTAAATTGACGTAATTAGATTGAATGATTGTGTATATGAATGCGCTCGTGAACGAAACGCACCTGCCGGCTCCTCGGGTGTGGAAAGGTTTCGTGTCCCAGGTGTAGACCGGGGGGTGCCAGAGAAGCACTGGCGCGGAGTCGGACGGGTCGCGTGAGGAGTGGCCGATGCCGCCAGCAGGACACGTGTACAAGTCATCTCGGGGTGACTCAGGTGCTACCCACACTCGCAACACCCCCCGCCCAACGATGCCATGCCGTGGTCAACCTTTCCCCACCCCCTAGAGCTATTGTTATCGAAGGGAAGGCGGCATCGGAGGGTTGGTGGGCGGAGTGAGATGCATTCTTCTCGTGAGAGGGGGAGGAATTTAATACTGGAAACCGCGCACAAATTCCTGTTTTTAATTGGAAGGGATGAGAATAAAGAAGAACCGCTTCTATAGCGTTGTAACCTGGGAATCCATCCATCGCAGCGGGGCTGAACAACCGACAAATAACACGAGCTTAGGTGCGAAAGAAGTTCCACGTACAGACATCGAACGAGGTGAGAACGCAAGCGACCAGACTGAACTTGAGTTGCATGAGAGCCGTGGGGGAATCTCCTGCGAGGCAAGGCGGGGGGTGATCGCCGCAGCAGTTGTGTGTAAGCCCCGGCGCAGGTGTTTTGAATGTGTGGGTGGATGTAAAACCCTGAGCGTGCCAGTCCGCTGAGCGAGTAGCGTGGTGAGTGTCTGCTAGCGACGAGGCGAGGGGCTGCGAGCGAGTGACGAGGTGAGTGGCTGAGTGACGAGGTGAGTGGCTGAGTGACGAGGTGAGTGCCTGCGAGTGACGAGGTGAGTGCCTGCGAGTGACGAGGTGAGTGCCTGCGAGTGACGAGGTGAGTGCCTGCGAGTGACGAGGTGAGTGCCTGCGAGTGACGAGGTGAGTGCCTGCGAGTGACGAGGTGAGTGCCTGCGAGTGACGAGGTGAGTGCCTGCGAGTGACGAGGTGAGTGGCTGCGAGTGACGAGGTGAGTGCCTGCGAGTGACGAGGCGAGTGACGAGGCGAGTGACGAGGCGAGTGACGAGGCGAGTGACGAGGCGAGTGACGAGGCGAGTGACGAGGCGAGTGACGAGGCGAGTGACGAGGCGAGTGACGAGGCGAGTGGCTGCGAGCGAGCGACGAGGCGAGTGGCTGCGAGCGAGCGACGAGGCGAGTGGCTGCGAGCGAGCGACGAGGCGAGTGGCTGCGAGCGAGCGACGAGGCGAGTGGCTGCGAGCGAGCGACGAGGCGAGTGGCTGCGAGCGAGCGACGAGGCGAGTGGCTGCGAGCGAGCGACGAGGCGAGTGGCTGCGAGCGAGCGACGAGGCGAGTGGCTGCGAGCGAGCGACGAGGCGAGTGGCTGCGAGCGAGCGACGAGGCGAGTGGCTGCGAGCGAGTGACGAGGCGAGTGGCTGCGAGCGAGTGACGAGGCGAGTGACGAGGCGAGTGACGAGGCGAGTGACGAGGCGAGTGACGAGGCGAGTGCCTGCGAGCGAGTGACGAGGCGAGTGCCTGCGAGCGAGTGACGAGGCGAGTGCCTGCGAGCGAGTGACGAGGCGAGTGCCTGCGAGCGAGTGACGAGGCGAGTGCCTGCGAGCGAGTGACGAGGCGAGTGCCTGCGAGCGAGTGACGAGGCGAGTGCCTGCGAGCGAGTGCCTGCGAGCGAGTGACGAGGCGAGTGCCTGCGAGCGAGTGACGAGGCGAGTGCCTGCGAGCGAGTGACGAGGCGAGTGCCTGCGAGCGAGTGACGAGGCGAGTGCCTGCGAGTGGCTGCGAGCGAGTGACGAGGCGAGTGACGAGGCGGCAGCTCGGACGTGCGGAGTGTGTCCTCCCCCCCCCCCCCGGGGCTCGCGCCGCACGCAGCCAACCGCGTGGTGGTGGTGGTGGCGGTGGCGACGACGGTGTTTGCAGGTGCGGGGGAGGACGACACGCAAACAAAAGAGCGCAAAAAAAGCAGTTTAAAAGAAATGGGTGTTACGAGAATCGGATATTGAATTCGAGAAATAGACGCGTGAATATACATGGAGGCGTTATGGGTCACAACAGATGTGTGTTATAGAAGAGTACGTGAGATGTACACACACACGAATATCACGTGGCCCAGCGGGAGCGCGTCAGCCGCTTGGTACAGCGGTTCACTGTTCGAGTCCAGCGGCCGCCCTGGTGAATACTGCGGTGGGTGTATGAACCCTAATCGCACTACGCGCCGTCGGCTTCACTCGAAGTGGACAGATCCCATCGGGTCATTCGCAAGAGTAGGCCATTGTGCGGATTGACCGCGCAATCGATCATTTCTAACCTCTGGACAACCCAGTGGATGCTGATAGTTGGGGTTGAGGTTACCGGTGGAGCTGTTTTAAGCGTGGGCGGGAATCGAACTCGGGTCCTCGGGTTCATAGCGCAGTGCGCAAACCACCAATTTTCATGTCTCCGTCCGATGTTAACTCTCAAGCCGAGAGGTTCACGTTTGACAGACGTGTAAATCAGGAGTTAATGTCTCGCGCCAAGTTGCGCGTTCACGCGGCTCGTGTCCTTTGCGAGAACGCGCACCGGTAGTTTGTGATTAACAAGGCCACGGTTGTTTGGGTTGACTGTGAACCCCCGCGCCTCCGATTCGCACGGCTGGCTACGTAAGGTGCGAAAGAAGTTCAACGTACTCGTTTATCTCACGTTCCTGAGATGGGAAGGGATTTACCCCTTTTATAAATAGTCGCGTAATGTGATCCGGAGTCATTGTGCGCAAGGAGCAGCGTGCTTTTAGCAGCAGCTGTAAACACAAACCGAATCGGTACCAAACATCGCGGAGGGTGCAAATGAATGGCGAAGGGTGGTTAGCGTGACACTATCACCTGGGCTAGGGTGTGGCATGGACCGGTGATTGAAGTTGCCAGGGTGAGGGCATCGGAGAAGTTTACTATTGAATGTCTCAACTTGCATTGCTCCAAGGTCTGCTATTTATAAAACGTTGCAGTGACCTCCTGGATTGGGGTGGGTTGGTAAATGTGTGGTTTAGATTGAATTGCTAATTTTTTGACATTCTATACTGTTATTTTATTCAAAGGACAACCAAATAATTGCTCGGTAAAGAGAGCTGCAATGTTTTGGGTTTCGCAGGGAATGTTGTGCCTAACAGCCAGCGGGCGCAGAAATAAAATCGGCATCTAATCTATCCACTGCTGGATGAAGGCCTCCCCACGCCGTTGCCATCCCTCACGGTCCAGTGTTGCTACCATCCACCTGACACCTGCACATGAATCAATCTCATCGCTCCATCTCCACGGCGGGTGGGCCCGTCAACGGATTCTGTTCTTTATTCCGTCACCAGTCTTGTTAACGCCACGGTGGGCGTCACGGTGGAGAGATGTTAACTACCTCGCCTGGTATGCAGGAGGTCGTGGGTTTCATCCCAACCCTGACGCCCAGTGTATTTGTAATTTGCATGTATCTCTCCCTGTGGTCGCATGGGTTTTTCTGCAGGTCCTCCGGTTTTCTCTCCATTTAGAATCAACATCACGCTTTTAGAGTATTTGGCTGCTGTACATTTCCACGTGATAAGCCACTTCTTTGAGCTATCATTTGTGGCCAGGTCGCTTCTGAAAAAGAGCTACACAGCTCAATGGGCCTTACCTGGGAAAAGAAAAGTAGTTTAGTTATTCTATCACCAGTCTCGTCAATAGCTATCATCCCGTCTAGGCATGATCAGCAAACAAACATAAATCAGAGAGATTAACAAATAATAAATATTCTTTGGGTCTTTCGGTAAAGCCACGTAGACAGAAAACAATAATACAAATATCACGCCGTTGCGATGGCAACACAAGCAATAGTCATCAGGTGAAAATAGATCGGGAGAGCTGCTGAGGCAGGATGTTAAAGGTTTGAGATGGGTGTAGCCCAAGGGTCATCAGCGAAGTGGGCGGGGCTAGAGATTAAATTTGCATGTCAATGTTAAATCGGGTAAATCGGAGAGCTTCCTCCACGACGACGAAGCTGCGGAGGTGGCCATTGTGAGGAATCGGCATGTCAATGTCCGATCGCAGAGCCACCGCCACATCGAGGAAAACGAGCAACGGTGGCTGTGTTAGTGAGACATTTAACCTGTTAATGTAAAGACATTTAACCTGTTACTGTAACACCAGAGAGTCTAAAATAACTACTAACAAGAAATGTAAATGGGCTTGAGTATTACATTTCCCTAGACGGGATGATGCATCCTACTCGAGTCGATTTACATTTCTCAGATGTGAATGTCTCCGATTTGTGTCTGTTTGCTGATCCATGATTCTGTTGGTTCTACCTGAAGGGGGATGCTGCTCACCTGCTGAAACCTCGCTGACATCACGAAGTCCTTGATGTACGTGCACTACACGATCTGTCCTGTCAATGTGTAGTATCACTCACGCGGTAACATTAATTACATTTGGATAAAATGCAAAGCCAAGAGACATCGTTATACAATTCCGTAATGTGGCACAATAACTCCGACTTATGCTTCATCTAAAGGATGAGATTATAATGCCACGAATTTCTCCCTGAACAATTCTATGCCATTTACAAACGGCCAACAGACTGGCGGCTTTGTGTCGGAGACAACCCATGAAAAAGTCACTAAATTAATAAAACCCTGACCTCTGCCGCCCCGAGGGGGTCCCGAACAAGTCGGAGCGCCGCGTTGGCAACCGGAACAACACTTGGTGGAGTTATCATCAACACTGGTGGCCAAGGTGTGAGGGCACCGCCATGCTGGAGTGGCTGGGCTCTGCACGCAGAAGAACGTCGTGAAGACGTCGCTGCAGGCGTGCGAGACTTCACTCACTCCGGCCGCCAAGCCTGGTAGCTCCTCTACGAGTACACGCGGCGAAATTAACAAGGCGCGGGGTTTAGTGAATAGACTCATCTCAACATTTAATCGGCGACCAATTTCCCTTCTCGAATTGAGGGCGCGCGCTGCTGCAGATGGCACAGACTGGAGTGGAAACCGGCGCAGGGTTCATCTTCTTGGTTCTTTCGGTAAAGTCACGTAGAAGATGCAGGGTTGTCATTGTTTAATAAACAACAGCTGCTGGCTGGCACACTCTGACCCAGCGGAGCCATCGATATCGCGGTTTAAAAAAAAGTGGTTTTATCTTGCATTAAAAAAAAATCCGTCCATACGAACATGTATGGAGGTGAGTGTGCGTGTATG